GCAATAAAAATACCACGTGTTATGTAAATACTCGAAATTCATTGTCAAAAAGAAATCTGGCGAACTAAGATCTGGTAAGCTGGCAGGCCAATTTACCGCACCAGATCTACCGATCCAGTGATTATTGAAATCATGATCAAGTACTTCACATGCTACCAGCGACTATGTGCTGGACAATTATCATGTTGAAACCACATGTTCTGTCGCACTTCTAACCTCAAGTTTTTTAGTAATATCTCGGCACATTCCACCATTCAAGTTGCCTTCAATAATGTGGCGACTCATTTTTGATTTACAATGAAAATGTGGTATTTTTTTAATGCAGAATTGTATGCATAGGTTCTCAATATGAGAAATCGAAAAAAAATTAATTTCGTTTATTACAGCGTCATCTGTCATGAATATAAAAAAAAAGTTTTGAGCAAACCCTACGTACTTTTAGCCGTAGAATCCGAATCTGCAATAAAAATTCGGGTTTCCTATTTAAGATATCAAAGTTACCCCTCGCCCCACCCACAAGTACACAAAAGTATTTCCCACCCACAAGTTCACAAAAGTATTTCCCCCATGGAATGATTAAATTTTCAATCTGGACATTTTTTGTAGAGTGCTTATTTTTCGAGATATTTGAAAGTTTCAGGTTAAAAAAATCACCATGTATATTGATAATATTTTCCATGTTTGAGATGTTAACTGATTTTCTGACTACCTTTAATTAAGCGATCAAATTCATTATGCTACAAATTGCTAAGAGTGATCTAAATAAATTTGTCGAATTATTATACAGAGTCAGAATACTTGGATTTAACAAACTTTGAATGGAAAAAATATTTTCGATGGAAGATTGTTTACTTTAAAATTAATTGATGTGGATTTTGAGGCCAATTATCAAGAGCAATCCCGCTGTTTTGTTATTTAAAATTCGGCGTTCAGTACATCAGCGACTTCGATTAGTTAATAAATTTTCATTCAATCTTTTGGAACAACACGGAATTGTATATACTTTGTACTAGGATACAGTCACGGCGACATGTATGTCGACAATTACCAAGTCTGAAATCTAAATTTCGCCCCAAGAAATTGAACTAAGCTACATAAACATGTTTAGCTGCAAGCTCGGCAGCGTTTGCCTTTTATTATCCCGGCTTGTGCCATAAAATTGCCGGTTTATTTAGTGAAAGTTTTTAGATATGTAATAATCGTAAGTCCAACACAAACAGGTCGCTTAAACTTTTTACAAAGATCGTATTTAGCAACTCATCACGAAATGTAGTAAGCGTTTTGTATTTGCATTGTGTTAAAGACAACAGAGGCGAGGAGCTTCCAAATTAACTCCGATGACTCGTTTGCGGCCGACTGGAGTATTCTTAAGATGAGAGTTTGTTAACTATATTGTTTTAGGTACACTAACGAGGTTTATTCAACGCAGGCGGCACAACGAAGATTGGTGCCAGTTTTTATACTACTGTATAACCATGCCCTTAATAGAGATATCGGCGTCCTTGTTGCCTTTAATCGCTTTAACATTACTAATCATTTTAATGCAATTAGTGATCGAACTCCTAACCCAAAATTTGACGTGAAAATTTTTAAATGAATTTGCATTCGACGACTAAGGTGAAAGTAACATAAATTTAAAAACAAACGTAATTACAGAGACAAAGGTTTTGTCAAACAACAAACTGCCTTCGCTCTGGCTAAAGGCGGGAAGGTGGGAACGTTTAATTTTAAAATAGATATGTGACGTGGTGTGCGAGGGTCAGAAAAAAACAACATAGAACGAAACAAAGGTAGGGCATAAATGGTCAATTTAAATTTCAAACCGACGTTGTAGACCGTAATGGTAATGTATTTGTTATGTGTTCTCGACGCGTTCAGTTAGAGACAATGCACAACGACCACTAATGGCCAATTTAGAAGAAGATATTTTATATTAAATTATGGGGGTTTGAGTTTCTTTATTTTGCAGATATGAAGGAGGTACACGCAGGCAGTAAACTTTTTTATTTTTTGTGTTTAGCTTTGGACTTACGGTTAAGATAAATAATTACATAATCGATTGGGGGCAAAAGACAAAGAAAATAAAAGGAGCTTGTTGTATGCAAAGTATTGCGTTGATTAAACAGAGAACTTCAAAAATAAACGAGGCAATATGTAAATGTTGCTCAGGGAATTCGACTCCAACAAAGATAACAGTTCTACAGCAAACGTTAAGTAAAAAAATGTTTAAAAATACCGTTTTGGTAACAAACTATTTGGTTAAAGAAATTGTTTTTGTTTAAGTATGATTGTGCATGTTTCTCCAGGTGCTTATAAAAATTCACCTACTCTTGTTAACTTTACACCGTATGAAATTCAATAAATAAAATCTAATAGAATTAAACTATTGTTATCTACATTATTCAACTGCAGAATAGATTTTGACACACTAGCTAACTAACTTTCCAAAAAAATACATCTTTGTTCTAGAAATATTCAAAATCTTCTCTATTTTAGATTTTAGAGAAACTACCGAACCGATTATTGTCAAATTTTATGTATATGTTAGCAATTTTGTGTGGTAAAACGCTTAACCAAATGTCTAATCATCCCCACCAACAATACGATAACGTTCCCTCAACATTTTTTTTTTAGAGAAGGCCATTTAAATTTTCTAAAATAGCATATTCCCATACTTATATCATCACATTTTTTACCAGCATAAGAGCACTTACGTGTCGTGAACTCTTGGCTTTTTTACATTCTGATTAGTATTATCTACATTTTTTGTTTACAAAATTGACATACGTGTCCTTGCTGCGATGTTGATCGGAACATTTTTCAAAGAGAAAACTCTTTCCCCACACTCCACGCCAGACTAAATATAACAGGTGGACAGAGTGTGTTTTCACAACATAATGCGTTCGAATCAAAAACAGTGGCGGTGTATGGATGATTAAAGTATGATATATTGATGAATTCAAAAAAACAAGCTCGGCAAGAATCTCTAAAAAATACAATCATATTTTTAGTTCCCGAGTGTAGGCTAATTTTATAATTTTTCAAAGAAGCACGATTTACTGGATTGTCGTAATAACCTCGCCCATTTTTTTTTCAAACTATCGTTGATGTGAGTTTGGAAAGTTTTTTAGTTTCAGGGACCAGCGTTCTGGCCAGAAATTTTTCACCTCCTGCAAATTTGAAGTCATTTATCAGAAAGGTTCTATCATAAACAAAACATCATCGCTTCTAAATAATATATTATTTAATGTGAAATACGAAGTTATTGTGTCCGAACCCCCACAATCGCTACCCTAAATCGATCTTGATTACTAACAACAATAACATAAACAAATTACTCATAAAACCAAGAACAGTGATGACACGGGACAGATCAAATTTTGTAAAAAAAATATTTGGAATTTCTGAAGCAGTTATAAAAACATCTATAAATACATAATTGATTTTACCGTACTTCTATTTTATATCATATAAATGAATAATTAATTCGATAAACGCTAAATTATTAATAAAATAATATAAATTATGCCTGAAAGCTATTTTAGCAGAGAAAATATAAACGATTTCGCTAATATGATGTGCTGCACTAAATTACTACAGCTGGAAAACACAATTTTAGAAAATGTCAAGGTTTTATCTATTTTGTTAAAGCATCAATTATTATTTCTACAAAGGTCACAGTTTATTTAAGTTTGGCAGATATATAGAAGCTAATATTATAGACTGTGCCCAAATTTATTGTAAGTTATGGAATTATCAGTAAATTTATACTTTAATCTTAGAGATTTTAAATTTTCAGTAAATGGAAGAACCCTGAATTTTTTAATATGAACATAAAAGTAAAAAACAGAAATATTTAATTTTCAGATAGTGTTTATAATTGTTTTTGAGATTTGTTGTTGTGTTATTTTAGATCTGCAAAAACTCTAACAGATGAGACAAAATCATTTTCAGTGAGGTTTATAGAGTTGATATTATTTCAAAATCACATATTTAATATATAAATTCATGTTTGTTCTTGATATTTCCAATTTTATTTATTTTTTGGATTAAATAAAATGGGAGGAACCCGGCACCTCCACCATTTATCATTAACATATCTGTTTCATATATTAATTGTGTATCTTCGTTATAATTAATTAATATAGAAAATATAAGAGTCTGCTGCATTTGTGAGTCCAGCTTATTCCAAACGAAAGAATTTTTCTGAAAGAGATTTTAGTTCTTACTGTGAGACCACAAAAGGTAATTATTGGCAAGAAAAATAATTACTATAATCTTAAAATTTTACAGTGAAAAATTCATATCCTAGTTTTGTTAAAGTACTCAGAAAAATAAGACTTTCCACACTACTTTATTATTTACCATCAATTACACATTTTTTTAGACAATCAATTTAATCTAAGGAAAACTTTAAATAATTACTGTATTCGTTATTATTAGATTTATGACACAAACAAAGCATCAAAACATAAAAACTGCTAAAATTTTTGCCGAATCGACCGATGGCAACTTCAGCAAAAGTAACGTCACTCGATATCTAATATTTATAGAAAACTCGGCTCTAATTGTTCCGCAGTTCAAGGACAGTTTTGAGAAAACGCTTCCCAATTAGGGACTCTGCAATTATAAATGATAAGAGTTCTTACGTAAAAACAAATTTTAGTTAAAATTTTATCTTAACGCACACATAAAATTTTAAAATAATCACTTTTATAGTTTCGAATAAAATCGTTAACAGACAACGACAGAGCGATGCCGAGGCCATGACAGACAGACAACAAAGATATAAACGACGAACGAATGTGGGGGTGATAAAAAACACGAAATTAGATATTTGTCAAAATTATTCCGTTTCAACAGTTATGACAGCTATTGCTAGAAATTGTACGATTGTTAGAAAGAAATTCACGTGCTCGTCTTTGTTTACAGCCATAATAGAGTTACTTCTAATATAAAATTGCTATCGCAAAAATGTTTTCTAATTTAATTTGTTGCAGACTCGGAACACTCTTAGAAATTCCAATAACAATACAGAAAACGTCACGAGGTGAGTAAAAAAGTATTTCATCATCGACATATCTATAAGTAGAAAATTTACCAAACAGAACAAACGAAACATTGATTGTTGGGGTGTGTTTGATGCTTGATTTATTTATTTATTGTGCGTGAGTTGCGGTAGTTGGATTTTATTAAATTGGGACTAGGGGCTTTTGGAGAAAAGAAAGAAGCTCAAGTTTTTTCCTTTTTTTAAGGGCACATTTCCCAGGAGAAATAAGACCTAAAGTTCTAAATACAAAGAACAAACAAATAATACCTTTTGACAAGCCTGATGGGAATCGAAAGACCCGATCTTTTAAAATAAATAATATTTCAAAGTGTAACATCAGAAAATTAAATGTGAACTCTCCACTCTTGTATTCTGTTACCTGCAAGTTAAAAACAAGTGTAAAACTTCTAATATTGAAGCTACGATACTGTTTTCTCACTGAATTGATAATAATCAGACTGTACACATTATCCTATACGCATTATTTAATATATAAATACATATATTCTTTGAAAAACTGTAGCTATTTAAATTTTTATTGCAGGACAGAAGTTGTTTTATTAAATAGTGATTTTTTGTTTCTTTCTGCTGAAATTTTCTAAATGGCAAACTATGTACCTATATGAAGTAGGTAAAAAATTTTTTTTTAATTAAATATTTATTATATTGATAATTTTTTGACGTGAGATTTGCTCATTAGGAAACATGAAAATATAAGACAAATTTTAATTGTTACTTTTTAAAACTAGTTAAAAAATACTTTCAGGAGATTAGTCCGTGTTTTCACATGCACTTAAAAAAAATACAGACTAGAAAGGACTGACAAACTCACAAATATTTTTAAAAAGTTTTGAACTTCTGGTATTATTGGTCAGTTAATTCAGATACATTATTATATATTTTGTAGCAAACAAGGAATATTAAACTACCATTTATTATAATGCTTAATTTTAAGGTTCTTAATATTATTATTAATAAATTCATCACTTCCTCAGATCAGCCATAAATTTTCACCTAAATGATGCTGGCGGCTGTTTTAATTTCAAGACAGCCAATTTTCCTCTCCTTAATAAATTATTATTTTTTCACAAAAGAGAGAATCGGTTTGTGTCAAAACTTTGTATGAAGGATTTGAATCTTCTATTCCAAAGTTTAAATTTAAACTCAACATGAAACACAACACCGCTCTTGGTTGGTTAAGAAAGTTGTTACATACGTCGTTAAAAATATCACTATTTGAGTTTTAAAATTGCAAAAAATCTAAATCTGTTCACTTAATTTAAAAATATAAGATTAAAATGTAAGTTGTAAATTAGTTAAAAAAAAAACTAGTACCCTGATAATATGGGACAGATAAATACATATACCACGAGACTAGGTCACTGGTGGAAATAATAAAAAAGTCAAACCAAGATCTTGACTAAGTATAACTAAATAGGGCAATAGACAACATGAGTAAATATAAAAATTCCAAAGAGAGGGACGAAAAAATTGGTTCGCAGTCTTTGTCTGTCTGTCCCCGATTTCAATGTCTTTTGTTTTAAAGCTGGTGTAATCGACATGGTTCTTAGCCAATTCTTAGCCATATTTAATGATAATCACTTCAGCCATTTCCACAGCATCAGCTCATAACACAATTAGTGTAGGAATCAGTTCAGTTGGCGTGAAAACGGGGATAGCGCGTCGACCGTCACAGCGAATCTTAACTAGTTTCAAACATTTTAAAGTTTTATTAATTTTGATTTTAAGTATTAACAAATTACGTTGACATCTAACCACCACAATAATTGACAGAGTTCAATAAAATGGTCAATGCTGTAGAATTTACGTTTACGATAGTCACTTTGAAGCTGCGACCTACCTTGGGCTCGTTGAACTTGACAAATGTGTTCATTAATAATCCCGTGCTATATACAATAATCGAAACCACTGTTCTAGAGGTTCTGTATACGAGATGAGCTGACGGAATACCTCAACGTATTCTTAAATTATCCCCAAAATAAGAAAAATATCAAATTATTTATAAAAACTATTACTGGCTTACAACAAAACTGTTGTCCATAGTTTATCAGCAGTAGGTGAAAGTAGTTTTAATTCATCTTGTGGTATCTGAAAGCAGTAATTAACAGCAAACCAAATTTTTTTAACCACATCTCTTTTTGGTGGTAGCTGTTTGAAATAGTCCGAAGGCTGTAATAATATATTCTGCAAATAAGGTAAAAACGTCTATTATAAGAGTGTTATTATAGTGTCTCATTGCTTCATCTTCCTGTTATTTATTATTCTTAGTGTTCATATCTGTGGACTCCATCATTCTTGATGTTAGTCCACGACATTCTGGGGTTAAACCGACCAACAATTTATTTTTTAAATACATACTTATAGCTACTTTCGCTAATTATTATGCAAAAATATTACAAAATATTACACTAAGTTATTATGAAGTTAATTATAGAAAACCTGTAGTTATAGCATTATGTAGAAAAAAATAATCTTAATGAAAATCGTCTCATATTTAAATATCGCATGACGTTAAAGAAATGTAATTTTAATTGACAACATATGTTAGATACGTGTGTGTATGAATAATAATCAATATACAATATTTCATATAAAAATGACTTTAATGGAGGTTATTTTGAATTGCACCTTGTACAAAGCATAAAACATGTGGTGATTTTTAAAAGGGGTATGACGTAATTTATCTATTGGTGAGGATAACCAGGCATTATGTGAACCATTTTACCATGAAGACGATTGCCTTAAAACGCATATGAAATTTCACACATAAGTTCTGCGAAAAATTGTAAAATCTATTTGTACCCACTTTATATTTTCAACACAGCTGCTATGCGCGTCGTTCCATATACTTAAGAACATCAAATCTGAATAAAAAAGTGCGCTGTATGATTTGTGATTGTGATGAAAAACATTGGAGATGAACCAATATGAAAAACCGACGTCGTTTATTTTTTTGGATGCTTCACTTCCGATTGACATCCGTCAGATGTCTGAAGTTTTGCCATTGTCAAAATGGACAATAAGTTTTTTTCTATCGTGCGGTCATTAATTATTCATAACCATTCGCAGTAAATTACCCGACGTGGAAAATCAGCGGGCTCCAAAGCTTGCACTTTTTGAACGTGGTATGGATGTAGGCCTTGCTTATCAGTGCGATGCTTTTTTTGGTTCTTAACCCTAGTCGTTCTGTCCCATTCATTAATGAGTAGTTATGGTAGGTTAAGAAATACTACAGCATATTGTGAACTATTTCCCATTGTTTTATTCTACACATTTCCAAATCACCCTGTATTATGATCTGTGAAACTGCAAGAAAATCTGAAATTAGACATTCGTTAGAATGCTGTTTCATTGTACGTATATGTATAGTATTAACTTGTTTTTTTTTTGTGATGCTATAACATATCGACTAATAAGAAAACTGATTCTGATCATTCCATACAAGTTTAAAGGTTCTTTTACCATCAACATAACAGAGTAAAGCAACAAAAGCTAGTTCTGTATAGCAAACCGTTCAAGCAAAATTCCTATAGCTTCGAAAGTTTGTTTTTCCATTGCTCTAAACCATCAAAAGCTAAACCATCAGTTTAGTCCTCTTTTAAAACTTAATTAATAAAATGAACTTTTGACGAACATTTCTTAATCCATTGATCCATTTATACAAACCAAACGACACAGGAACTGCGACTTAATCACCTATGAACAATTAAAGTTTGTTATTTTAAAACTATTTATACGAAAGTAGTTACATAGTGGGGCTCCTAACTCAGTTTGACCTCATTTGACCGAGCTAGGAGTCCCACTACTTTTTATCGAACGTTTGTCATCGCTTTGTGCTTGGTCGACCTGACCCCGAAGACGGTCCCGACTATCCCCTCATATAGCTTAGTAGGAAAGTACAGATTTATAAATAAAACAATTAAGTATAGTCAGGTTATCCGAGCAGTCTAGGGCGTTCTGGTTGTTGAAAGGGAGCGTGACTTCGAATACCACACCTGACAGATTTTTGCACTCAAATAAAACACATGTTAATGTTATGTTATTTATTGAGAAAATATAGAATACAGCCAATTGTGAATATTTTTAGCATTATTTAATGAACAGAAACATTTTTTTTATTAGATATATGATTATCACATTTTTTCGTTACTTTTGTTAACTTGTGAAGGTTTCATTTTTATAGTACGATGATAAGAATTATTATATCGATGTACCACATTAATCAAACCATTTATAAATTCGAAATAGAGAAAAAACTGTGTGAAATATTGGTAAAAAATCACGCGTTATTAAAACACTCCGATTTATTTCTGATCAACATTTACAACCCTGCCGCGCTACTTGTGACGTTTGTATGTGGTAGAGACAACAAAAAGGAAAACAAGCACTCGAAGCGGACAGACCAGGGATTAAAGTGGAGACATGCCTCAGCGAGTACTATTTGCGAATCAATATTTACAAAAGGAGAAAAATGCCATTCGAAGTGAGAGCTATTACACTGAAATATTCATGTTCGTGTCTGTGCAGAGTATCCGATGGATGTAAAGTGGTTGTTTTACAGAGTTTTCGTAATGGCAACGGCCCCCACAAACAGCCGCCCCGTCGCCACCTCCAGTTTTGGCTTGATTTGCTTTCAGCACGCGTCAGGCAGGCGAAGAGCGACGAAGATCGTAATCGGCCGGATTAACGCGGCTCGTCTTGATACAGCACCGATTAAACACGGGATTATAACAGCGAGGATAATAATCAAACCAATGATGAATTAAAGCCCGACGAGGTGCGTCGCTCTTTAAAAAAACTGATTTTTTAGACGATTCGATTCGAACATCCATCAAGTTTAATGACAACTGGCGTATTTGCCTTGACAAAATTATTGGTTTTAGTTTAGAAATCAGAGATCTCTTGCAAATTGTATGTCATTGTGCAGGTGTATAACATTCAAATCAACGTTAAAATTAATCCCAATTTTTTACTTCTCA